CCTCTGATTGCTTTCACCTCCTCCCATGCTTTCCTCAGTTTCTGTTCCAGGATCTGTACCATCAGCACCCTAAAAACCCCACATAAATATAATATGACTTAGCACTAAACATCTTGGAGGCTGTAAAGAGAATATAAAAGCAGTACAAGAGTATTCAGAAAGTAAACAAAGTAAAATATATGAAAATCTTAAAATATTTCTGCAAATATCTGCAAAATCAGACAAATGTACACAACTGTGACATTTCAGAAGTTTTATGTATCTATACATGCACAAATGTGAAGTACGCAGCCATCGTCATTTTATAATAGACAATGACATATCCAGCTTTTGAAGAAACTGCCTTACTAGCTTGGCAACTAACAGTATTTGTGGCTGGCTCCTGTACTTCGTGTTTTCATTCTGTTCTCAAACATTAAAAGTTGATTTTTCTCATGAATACACCAGTTATAACAGAAATTAATATCACCTACTAGCAGCCTCACATTTCTGTGATGAATTCACACTAAGATTTTCTTTCAAGTATCCAGAACTGTGCAGATGCATAACACCACCAATTTATTCCAAGAAATGTAGCAAGCTAGAAATAAAAAGTATAAAACTCACCTCAGCATCATCTGCTTCATATCCGTCATTACCATCAGCACTACCAGTTCCTTCATTACTGTCATCACCTTCATCTCCCATCCCTGTGTCTTCATCATCATCCTCATCTTCCTCTTCCTCATCCTCATAGTCCTATAGAACCATAAAAAAAGCCGTAAGGAAGCGTGGCTATTAGGATAGTGGAAAAATTTCACATCTTGAAGTGGCACACTTCACGTTGTGGTACACAGACCATGTCCGTCTGTGGCTCTCTTTTGAAGATGTTCAACATTTATTAACCACAGTGTACTTGTACATATTTACTGATTGCTGTGGTAGGTTTACCTTGGCTGGGTGTCAGATGCACCCAGCCACTGCCTCACTCCCTCTTCAACAGGACAAGGGTGAAAAGTAAGGTGGAAAAGCTTGAGGATCAAGACGAAGGCAGGCAGATCACTTACCAATTACCATTACAGGTAAAACTGACTCAAGTCAAGGAAAATTAATGTGTTACCAATTAAAAAATAGAGAAACAGACTAGAACACCTTCCCCCCATCCCTTCTTCCCAAGCTCAACTTTACTCTCTCCTTGCTATCTCCTATTCCTCCTCCTCCACCCCAAGGAGGGCAAACGGGACAAGGAATGGTGGGTTGTGGTCATTCCACAACAGTTTCTTTCAGCTACTCCTTTCTCCTCCAGTGTGGATCTTCTCTACAGACTGCAGTCCTTCAAGAACTACTCCAGCAGTGGGTCCTACCCACTGAATGGCTGCAATTCATCAGGATAAATGTGCCCCCGCACTGGCTCCTCTCCATGGGCAACAGTTCCTGGCAGTAAAGCCTACTCCTGCATGGGCTGCAGTTTCCTTCAAGGAATATACTGCTCTCCACAGGCTGCAGAGAAATATCTGCTCGACTGTGGTCTCTTCCACTGCAAGAAGTATCTGCTTCAATGACTGGAGCACCTTCTTCCCCTCATTCTTCTCTGACCTTGGTTTTTCCAGGATTGTTTCTCACACTCCCTCCCCCTCCTCACACTAACACTGCCATGCAGTGTTTTAGCCTTTCTTTATACGTGTTTTCCGCAGCTGATGGGCTCAGCTGTGTCCTGCAGTGGGGCCACTTCAGAGCCAGCAGGAAGAGGCTGTGTCTGGCACAGAGCAGCCTTCAGCCTGTCCTCACAGAGGCCACCCTTGTATGTTGAACAGTCATAGATAATCTAGATGCACCACAGAATTAAAATAAATAATAATAAACAGAAGTTGAATTAGCAACACTAAGTTCAGGCTACATAAATAGAGACTATTTTTACAAATTAAAAAAAAAAAAAAAAAAAAAGAAATTGGTTAAACAGTCCTTCCAGATGAGTTTTACATCTGATCAAAAATCATACCTAAAGCAGTTCAGAAATAAATTCCATAATATACATACTTCCTGCTCGCCTTCGTTTTCTTCATCATCATCATCATCATCATCACTATCAATGACAATGACATCATCTCTTTTCGACTGACCATCCTGAGATGAAGTAGTATTTTGCTGATCTGACTGAAGAGGTCCAAGATCTATCGGGATAGACTGGGAAGTTTCTTCACTATCCTCCATGGTAACGTACTCTCCGTGTGTAACACCCTGTAAAAGATAAATTGCCAGAAGAAACAAAATGAAATGCAGCATATACAATTCTTAAAATGTTTTTCAGGGAAGCATCCATTTTATTTCTAAAAGATTCTTGTTTCCATTCCTATTTCTCAACCTCGACCAAATGGAGGCCTGCTGTACAACACAAACATATTTTGTCCTTCATTTTCAAATCTCATCTGGGATGGGTGACACCATTAAAGGTATTGTATTCATATATGATGCATTTGCTTGCGCATCCATAAGCAGCTGCTGCCTCAATGTTTACTCATCTTTAAAAAGTTTTAAATGGTTTCCACTGGAAACCTGCAGGATGCGATTTAAGATTTCACTTCTAAAAATGGGGAGTGGGGGAGAAGGATAGGAGCTATTTCTGCTAAAATGAAGATCGTACTATTTTCAAATATGCTTACTTCACCAATTGAGTCTTGTGAGTCTTGATTGTATGTTTGAGCTTCAACCTCGCCATCAGTGCTCTCTTCTGCTGTCACTTCCTCCTGAAAGAACATGCATTTTTCTTGTTTAAAACACTCTATTAGCCCTACAGTTTGGTTCTTCAACACACCATTTTTTTTTTACTTAAAAATAAATTAAAAAAAAAAAAACCCAAATAAAAACTCTTTACACAGAAAGATCATGGGCAAAATTTTGTTCCTGTTTTACTATTATTCCTTAGCTCTGCTTTTATCTAGCATGCCATTTTTCTCTTTCCTGGAGAAATGCCATTTGCCCATTCAGTCCACTGGGCCTCAGTATCTCCAAATCTTTTCAGGACCATAAAAGAACCCTTAAGGTTTCATATTCCACCTTCATCCTCTCAGCTAATTAAGTGACAATGTTCTGAGACAATTTTGCTCCCTTTTTTGCTATGCAACATCCCTCTTGTACAGTTAATAGAAAACCTTTGACTTCCTTAACATTATTCAGGAGTTGCCTGCTTGAGGTTCTGTCTTAAGTTCATTCCTTCCTTGCAGGACATCCCAATTGTCTCACAGCAACAACTCTGCATGCATCTCCTGTAAGCTTTTACATGGAACTCATCTTTGCTTCATGGCATGCCCTCAAGTATGCTGCATTCTATTCCAGAGTAACTGTAGATAATGGCCTTCCAGACCACACTGGAAAATATTTTAACATTTTCCTCCTCAGTTCCAGGATACGGCCCTCTCTTTTCCATCCTACATTTCACCAAGATTTACATCACTCACTGCAACTGGCATAACCTCTGCCTTTCATGATACCCGAACATAATTGCTTCCTCCCCAGTAGATTAAAGTCATGTTAAGAATTAACTGACTTGCTCTTCCCATTAAAATCTTCCAAAGGGACAGATTAAGTAGCAGCACTTTATGTTCTTGCAAACCTCTGGTCCAACTCTCTGTATGTTTCTCAGTTTCTTTGGAAGAGGAACATCCACTGTTTCCTCTGAAATTTGGTCTGAGTTTTCCACAGTGTTATCCTCCTCTTCCTCTCGTGGACGTTTAGACAGTGAAGAACTTGGGGTAGCTGAAACTTAAAAAAGCCTCCCAGTTATTTTCAGAACAAAAACCATACAATACAGAGTATCAAAAGTTGTTGTTTGACTCTGGAAGATCACTTCTTTTTCTGCATTGAATAACAAATGGAATTAGAAAGAATCATCTTGTGCCATTTTCTGGGACATAAAAACAGCAGCCCCTTTTCTTATAAGTCTTATACTCTTGGGACTTAGATTCACAGCCTAATTAACCCCAAACATAATCTTGGGGGTACAACTAAAATATTTTTTCCAACATCTTTGCCTCTGACAAGTGCACCTAAAAGTTGAACAGAGCATCAGCTGGGAAACAAACAAACAAGCAAAAAAGCAAGTTTACTGAAGTGTATTCTGGGGAATAACATTCTACACCAAAATCGACACTGTGTAGGAGAAACAAATATGCAACACTGTATCACACTGAGTAGCTTTAGAATTTTTCTCTGTATGTTGTATTCCAGCTTAAGTAGCTTATTTGTGCTTCCTCATGACCTGGCTCTAACACTACCAGTTTCAGAGGCAGCAAGGTTTAGTGCATTACATCCCAATGCTGCCCTGGATAGATAAGCAAACATGAGGTTTTAGTTTTGTATTTTAAGGAATGCAGCAACAACAGCATTTCAGAGGTACCATTTCTGAAAGTTCAGGAAAGGAGCCTAACCCCAGAAGTCTGTAAAATCTACAATAAATTAAGGGGGGGGGAAGAAACCCAAAACCCCAGAAGAGCAAATTCTTTTTCTGAAGTTAGGCCTGGTTTGACAAGGGTCCTAACAGAGCTACTTAAAATGAATTATTCAGAAAGGTAGGCCTATAAAATAAAACCAACCTGTGCCAAACACTGCTGTAGAAGTGGAGGGCCTCTCTATCTGAGAGCTCTGTACAACTTCTACTATGGTGGGGGATGGCTCCTGATTAGCAGGCTCAATCTGAGGATGACTTTGCTGAGTGGGCTGCACAAAAGCAGTCGCCTGTGTCTGCTGCTGAACAGTCAAGATGGGCTGAGAGAGAGATGTCTGAACATTAGGACTGGTGGAACGCACAGACCCACTAGCACTGCCAAAGACTGGAACGTGCTCCACAGGTCCTTCTGATTGCATAGCTGAAAGGCAAACAGTAGCATATTCAACTGTCTTCATATTATCTAGTACAGTTCACATTTCAGAATGCCTTAATTAAGCTGATTTAATGTGTTGCAAATTGAGTTAACATTAATTATACCCATCCTCAACTGAGGAATCATGAACTTTGTTGCAAGAGAAATGGTCACAACAGTGCAATACTGGAAGAGATGCAGGAACAAGAAAACTATCTGAGGTACGTTCAAACTAATAATTACCAAGATTTCAAAGCAAAGATAGCATTTATGATTGCTGTAGATCCTTAAACTATACCAAAATGCTTACCTTCCTGAGTCTCCACCTGTGTTGTAGGCATAACTGTGGCTGTTGGTGTAGTGGTAGGATTAGTGACAGTAGCAGGAGTAACCATTGGACGGATACTGGCTCGTGGAGTAGACTTATTCCCAGCCATTGCAGCAGCAGTCACTTTACTTGGAGTTGACACAACAGGAGTTGGTTTAATATTTGCTGTTGGTGGATCTGAAGTGCTAGCACTGAAAAAGAGAATATTGTTTTTATGGTGGTAGTGCAGAAAGCAAATGTTAAAAATACCAAATGTGAATATATTACTGCAGCCACGAATACTGATTTTTAAAGGCTTAAAATTTAAAAGCCTGGCAAGGGAATCATGAATTATCTTCCCAAATTTGTTTACGGATTAAAAAGAAAAACAGACACACTATGCCATCAGTAGCAATTTGTCCAGCTTACAGGTTTGACACATTTCTTCAAAGGTAATCAACTAGAAATCTGTAAGCAGATCAAAAGGAGCAGTGCACAGCTTACACTATTAGCTGTGCTGGGTCCTTATTACAGTGAGTAATACATCTTACATTAGAACTGATTCACTCAATACAGAGCAACATAATCTCCTGGTTGAGACAAAGATCAGCCAAATTTTAGGAGGCATCTTTGAAAGCCTTGCTTTCAAAAGGATGCTACCATAAAAACTGAAAGGGAATTTGTTATTTAAACTTAGTAATACAATAAAATTTAGCACTTAATCATTTGATTGTTTTATCTGTTGTTAGAGCTGCCATCTATGTAGTCCATTTCTTATGTCTGGGATTCTTGCACACGGAAGATCCCACCCCAAAACAAAAATGCTTAAAGGTAAAACCGTACAACTTCAAGAACCCTGAAGCTGGAAAACATTTAAAAAACATGCTTCATGTTTCCTAAACACGGTATCCCTGGTGGTTAATAAGACAATTTAATAGCTTAAAAGCTTTATTGATTAGCTGTAGCTGAGAAAACAGAAGTAACAATTACATCAATCAGCATCTTCAAAGTTGCTTAAGAAAAATTGCGGAAAGCCAGTGGTTTACTAAAAAGAAGAGCAGCTGGTAAAGACAAAACCAAGAAATGCCAACCACAGAAAAGTCTGCAAAACCCCCAAACCCTTCAACTCACATTCCTCTTTCACCTGAAGCTGGAGTAGACTTGAGTGAGATTTGCCTCTGCTGTTCTGGGACCTATTAAGTGAGAAACAGACGTATCATGCCATATACAAACAAAACAGAGCACGCAATCTGGTAAAATACTGCAGCAACATCTTTAATAACAATCGTTTCTCTAGCAGACTTGTTAGAATACCTAGTCAGACTCTGTGGTTATTACAAATTCTCTAAAACAAATTATACCAGTCATACCAAGAATTTAAACCAATTCAGTAATTGAGACAAGAGCACCTAGAGACCATTATACTGAATGCATGGATAAAAATACAAAAATGCAGGGCAGAGTGCAAACAGTTCAGTTGGCTGATTCACAATGAGTGATACAACGTTATGCTTGTTAGCACTGGGAATTCTGACTATGGCAGGAAATGAGTTTTAAATTAAGTTCTGAACCCCTGCTAAAGCCAACTTGTGCATTTCCAAAACCAGGGGACAGTGGAACCTGAATAAAGCGCAGTTTGTTGAGCTCATAGTTAAAGTGTTGGGAGTCCTAAAATAAGAATTTCCATCTGCTATTCAGGATGCTTAGAGAAAACAGCTTCACGTAAAGTAGTCCTGAGCTTTAACTACTGTACACACACAAGTTGGACAGTGGTGCTTGAGTGACACCTACAAGCAATGTAGTCAACTTGTAGTTACAAGCTACAAATTCTCATTCAGCCATGAGACATGCAGCTGTTTTTTCTCTCACACAGCTAGCTAAAAGGATTTTGTACCTTGTTTGTAGACTCTGGTGGCTCATCTCGCTGTTCATGGTGTCGCTCTTGCTGCTCTCTAAGCTCTCTTTCTAGACGGCAAATTCGACCTTCATACTGTGATTTAAGTGCACTCATCCGCACTTCCAATTCAGTCTTCTGCTCTTCTAATGAGCTGCTCTTTTGCTTCCACTCTTCATTTTCTTTTGTTAGCTGTTCTTTTGTACCTAATTAAATAGGAAAGAACTCAGTCCTGCCACTGTGAAGCTGCCTACTGACTTTCTGCATGCCGAATACCTGGCTGTTCTAATACATTAATAAAGTATTTTGAAATCTTAAAATGATTAAGCTATCAACAGAGTATTTGGAGGTAATTTTAACTTTCACATGCCATTTTTATATTTAATTACAATTAAATAGAAATAAAATAATAATGCAATAAATAAACAAAAAGTAGTAGACACAAAAGAACAAGATGCTTTCAGCAAGCTCTGACACCATCATTTCTCTCAACACCAATTAAAAATAAGGAGGCAATATGTTTTGCACCTGTACATTTAGGGAAGACAAGAGGGAAGGGAAGGAAAGAGTTACCTGAGCTGTTAGTAGGGTCAGTCTGCTCTAATCAACAGAAGGATAACAAATGGGTGTTATCAAGCTGGCTTGCGAAAACTAAGCAAAACTTTTTTTACCTCCAGTGTACAGTTCGGTACATGCTTTCATAATCTCCTGAAGGAATCAGAATTTACTTTTTTAGAACAATTCCTATAACATCTGAACTAGAAAAAACTTTTAACTAAATACGAATTAAGCCATATTTTTGTATTTAGCATCCTGTCTAAACACTTTTCTATAGGATAAATCAAAAAACAAACTAAAGACAACATCTTAAGGACAGAAAAAAAAGGTATTATACCAGCTAACTGTGCAATTTTCTGCTTGGCGGCAAGCAATGTCTTCCTAGTTTTCTCTTCCTTCTCGGTGATCTGTTGCCTGAGCTGTTCTTCCTGTGTAGTCTTCTCTTGCAGATCTTGATGAAAACGAGCAAGTTCTGATTGTAGCTGTATTATCTGCTCCTGAAGATTTCTAACTTCAGCTTCCTTTTCTGCTATAGACTAGAGAGAAAGCAAGAGAAAGACTGAAAGAGAGAAGTTGCAACTATTGGCCATAACTAGCTACTTCAGCAAACAACGCCCAAGGACCTAGTATTAGCTGGACACTGTATTAAGGTTCAAAGGCTTCTAATCAACAACAGAGGAGTCCAGTCCTCCCTGAAAGTAATAGTTGAGAGAATAGCATTCTCCTTCCCACTTATTCATTCCAAGAAATAATGTGAGAGACTCTACACACAGGATTTAAACTAGGTTTAAGGCCCCTCTCCCAAGGTTGAGGCACAAATAGGTTAACTCACATATTTCTGTGCATAAATGTACACACTCACAGTAAAACACCCTCACATTCGTCGGTTATGCATTTAAGATTGCAGTAGAATACAATACTCTGAAATTGTTCACTGTTCTTAGCTTGTTCACTCTGATCTCACCTTTTGTAAGCTTTCAACCTGAGTCTCCAAGGTCTTTGTCTTCACTTCAGCTTGACTGAGAGTGTCTTTCAGCTCTTGCACTTCCTGCAGAGAAACCTGTTCTTCTTCTTGTTCTACAAAAGACTGAGTTGATGCTTCAGCGACCATCTGAAATATATAAAGTGGTATCAGGCAAAAGGGTACTATCTGATTAGAATGTAATTTTTTTCAGAAGTTTCTTTTGCATGCAAATTGATAGTTCAAAAAGTTCTGGGCAAAACCCAGGAATTCTACTAACCATAAAGTTAAGAATACTGCAAATTATTAAGTTGATACGCAGCTTCTGTTTCATAGCAGCTTGCGCTAACAGCAGAATAAATGGCATCATTTTCTGCTTTTCTCTTCACAGGTAAGTATTCGTACAATATTATACTAATGGAATGTGAAGATCATTAGTTAGATTACATAGATAGATTATATATGACTAAATGAAAACATGTATTTTTTTAATAAGCTTTTTCTTTGCTAAGAAATTCCATTTACCTTATCATGCTGTGCTTTCAGCTCCTCATATTGAGTCTTGTACCTGCGACCAATTTTCTTGACCTGTGTTATTGTTTTCACTTTTTCTTGTATGTCAGCCACTTTAGCATCTAGCTCTTTCTGCAAAGCATCCTTTTCTGTTCTTATTTTAGTTACTTCATCCTTAAGACTCTGAACAAGGTTCTGGCTTGTAGTCAAGGATGCATTAGTTCTAAACAAGAGATTAGAGGAAGATGCAAATGAGATGTCTGAAATAATACATTTCAATATTTCTTTTATGTGATATCACAGGCATTATCTGTAGTGAATTATGTTTTCTTGGATTTTGCAGTACAAACAACGATTTGTAGAATACACGTTACTTTACAATACATTAGAATAAGTTCAGCTAAGGCGGCTTCTGAACAATTCTGACAATTTTGCTTGCATATTACCAAGGTACAGTAAGAATATCAAAGGTTTCATAGTTCCATGGAGACAGTGAAGAAATTACAATTGCACATACAACCTTATTTAAACTATTTTGCTTTGCACAGAACTTGTTAGTAATTGATTCATACCACACCTGGCTATTTCTGCTTTAAGCCTGCCTGTTTCTTCACTCATTTGTTGTATACGCTTTGTGTTTGCCTCCTTCTCTGACAGCAGCTTCCGATACTCTTCGAGATCTGTGTCCTTCTGTTGACTTAATAAATGCTGAAAGGTTGAGAAAATAGTTTGCACTTTTGTAAGACGATTATACAGCTATACCTAGAAAATGTCTTTGAATTAGAGCTACTGCTTTCGCATTTTGATTTGGAATGTCTGTGAATCAGAATAGACTATTTTGAAGCTGCATAATCAATGCTTTATAATTCAAATACATTTCTTGAGTCACTGTTGTTGTTTTTAAGAATATTTAGAATAATTTTTTTTGTTTAGTTACTTCATTTTCCCCTCAACTTCTCTTTGAAAACATGCATTCTCCACCTGAGTCCGGGCTTTCCACCGTTTGACATCTTCTTCCAACAGCTTTTTCTCCGCCTGCAACATTCCACTTTTCTCACTCAGTTCAGCATTAGACTCCTGCAGAGGTAGAATGTCTGCCTCAAGCTTGCGTACCTGAAAAAAAAACCAACAGGAGAACTCTCCAGATCTTTTGAAACTGAAGGAAATAGAATATGGTAGGCCTTGAACAAGGATAGTAAAGAGGGCCAGAGAGAGCAAAATCAACCCTCAAGAAGCCTGATAAAGCTTCTTTTCCAACTCTCTGCCTTTCAGTGGCCAGCCGGGGGCAGGGAGAAGGACACGGAGCAAGAGCAGGGGATAATCCTACAGAGAGGAAAAAAGTACACGTACAACTTCACAATCTTAGATTCTCACTCTTTGTACTCTGATACAGGAAACAGATTATTAATTACATGTTAGAAGCCAAGCAACACTGCACTGGATTCCATTCCACTGGTGCGCAGAAACATGAAGAGACAATATCTTCCCTTTAAACTCCTAATAAAGCTGTGGTCTGCTTTATACCTATTCCTCTGCCACTTAAATTTATCTGCTGATAATATATCCCTGTTACTGGTATACATCTAGGCAAGGATAAAACCTGATTCATTTAAATGAAACTGAACTTAAAACTTTCCAGTGTTCTAGGTGGACCTATGTCTTCTAAAATTCTAAAGGGAAAAACTTCCCCATTTGTGTATGACATAGAGGAATAACGACACTCTAAATCATGTACTTATTGTAATTAGCAATAATATATCCAGACACTAACTCATCAGCTTGAATATCTAAAAAATTTACATGAACTTCAGCACTAACCTTTGCTTGAATTTGTTGTAGCTCTTGTTCTAGCCTCTCCTTCTCTTCTCTTAGCATCTTGTTGGTCTCTATCAGGACATTCATGGTCTCAGTTTTTTTCATTAATTCTTCATGCTGTGCAATGGTTTTTGCTGTTACCTTTTGAGAAGATTTAACTCAATCATTTGTTTTGCTTGCACGTGCATATATACTTATCTGGATCTGGTGTAACACCACCTTGGAAAGCTAGTCTGGCCTTCATTATCTCACATGTACATCAAAACAAGTAAATATCACTTAAGAAATGGGGGATAGGGAAAAAAATTGAGAGAAAGTATCTTTATTTTCCCTATTTATCCAATTTTGGAATTGTCACACTGCTTCACAGGACTCAGAAAAAGATTCTCCACTTGGCTATACAGCAACCCCAGTTTAAAAGCTCCCAATTCTTCCAAAATTTCATTTCCGGGTACAGGCAGCAAAGATAAAGACCAGAAGATACAGAACAGCCCTCTCTACTTCTTGAATTCATAAGCAATAATACCCAACCATACCTGCACCTTCTCCCTCTCAGCATTGAGACTGTCTTGCAGCTCCTGGAGTTCCCTTTCCAAGTGCTCCACCCTCTGACGATAACGCAAACTCTCCACCTGGGCCACCTCAAATCTAGTTTCTGCAATCTCCTTTTCTCGACGTATAAATCTGCAGTACAAAAATAAACAATACATCATGTCAATGAAAATGCAAGACAAAACATTTTAAGTTGAAGGATCTTTTATCTGTAGGTCTACTGAGTATAGAAATTGGTTCACAAAGATAAAAAAATCCTAGATAAATCCTCTTGAAAATCTACATAAACCCGCCAAAAAACACAATGAGAAAAAAATCACCTCTATGAAACTTTCTTGCCAATCATATTTGCTAAAATTTGATTTAGTTTCCTGTCGTAATTGACTCAGTTTTTTCCTACGAGTAGAAAGAAATCTCCTGTATTGTTACTGATGTAGTACAACCACCTACTGCCTAGCAAAAAAGTGCTAAAATATTATATGTTATCAATCACAGAATACCAGATTGGAAGGAACCTCAAGGGAAATATAGAATACCATGTTGAAAGGGACCTTCAAATATAAAGTAATACAGAAATATTAAATTTGGCAACTCATTTGCACTCACTGAGGGAAGGAGCCCAGAGATAAATTTACCTAAGAATTTCTAAGATCTGTTCCTGGGATTTGCCTTCTTCATTGAGAGAAACATTTACTGCAGTTGGCATGGCTTCTTTCATAGAAGTCACCATCTTATCACTCAGACTTTCCAACTGTTCGTGTAATAATCTATTTTGTTTTTCCAAATCTTCACAGCGGGATGCAAGTTTTGAAGCTTCATCCTACAACAAAATTGTTCAGCAGATGTGAAGCCTGTGGCTGTATTTCTGTTAATTAAAAAAAACAGAACACTAAACCCGTAAGAACAATCATACCTTGATCATTCTCTCTCTCTCTTCCCAGGAGGCTTTGAATTCTAACAATTCAGACTCGGCTTTCTGAGCAGCTTCCTCTAGTTGCTGCCTTACCGCTGTGTTCTTGGAAACTTGGTCTTTAATAGCCTGTAATGCTTCAACATCAGCAGCATGAAGCATTAATTCCCGTTCATATTTATTTTGAGCTTCAGAAGCCATCTTTGCCTGCAAAAAAAAATATATTAAAAGACTTTATTACCTTTAATGTTATATTTTTTATATGTACAAAGAAATAACCCCAGACCAGCTTAGAATGTTTCCCTTAAATTATTAAGAAAAATTAGAATTTGAAATAGGTCTTTAGGTGGCCAGAGGTAGCAATTCACTAAAACCACTTAATTACACTCCCTGATCAATTTTTTTACGTAACGAAACAGACCACAGAAACAGTTATCCACTGCATCTTCTGTTTTCTTAAATGTGAGAGAAACTGTGCTTGCAGCGCAACTTCGTGTTCAAAGTCAGTTTAGTTCATATTACTACTTTCATCAGGTAGAAAAACAAAGCATTAAATAAGCAGCTGTTCACAAAATAAAGAATGTGCTCTTTCAGCACTTCTCGTCTCCAAAAGTCTCTGATTAGCAGTACTACCTTTAAAAAATGTTTTGAGTTCAACTGAGAAACTATCAGTCATTTAAAAAAAGACCAACTATCAGAAGTTTACTACCTCTAGCTAAAATAGCCAAATACTACAAATACTACAAATACAAATACTGCCATACTTGTTCCTGGCAGTCACGTCTGGCTTGCTGTTCATTATTTAAAGCTGTGCTGGCTCTTTGAAGAGCTTCCTGAACTTCCGACTGCACGGTTGACAGACTCTTCTTTAGTTCCGATAGCTACAGTGATGGGGGAGGGAGAAGAACAAAAACAAAACAAAACAAAACAAGAATAAAACCAACACTAAACAGCAAAGTATTTTACAGAGTACTGAACACAGCAAGGATTTGAATGCAGACCATCAAAAACAATGTAGAACCAAAGAGTGGTTATTATTTTTAGATTAAAATTAGTATTTTTTTAAGAAAGGGAAATACTTTCAAGATTTTGACTTAATAATATACAGAACTCTTTCCTGGTAAAAATATATTGCTGTTATTTCAGAGTTAGGCCTGCAGTAATGCTAGCTGCAGTCATCTTGTTTCTTTCAACCTCAATAAAAGCCCAGATATAAACCAGACAAAATAAGGGCATTGCCCACTCTGACTTTAAAAGATGTGCATACTACAAAACTGGTATTGGCTCGTGTTTGAAAAAAGGTTTTCTGAAACCTTTCTCGCAGGCTTTTACTCATGTTTTTTCTACAGACTGCTCAAAGTTCAGCAAGACAGTGACAGCTTTAAATACACAATCACCCTAATGAAGTGGTACGGTTAATGTACTACTCATCCTTACAAACCTCTCACAAATTTAGTTAGCCTCTTGAACATTCTAAAAGATTTAGTTTGTGACACTACAGTACTGTGGGAAAAAAAAAAAACAGCTTATGGAATTATGTAAAAGCACATTCTTGTGGACTCCATTCTTGTGAGTTTAAAGGTTGGGGGCATTCAGTGCATACCTGTTGTTCCATACTCTCCACAGCTTTACGCTTCTCCTCTTGCAGTTCTTGCTTTTCTTTCTCTGACTCCATCAGGTTCTTTTCTAGCTGTGCTTGATACTCTGAAGACTCCTTCAGACGAGCTTCAACTGTTGCACGAACTTCCTCTGTCACCTTCATTAAAATCCATAAGAGATCAATATTTTTTCCTTTAAATATGATAGTCTGATATAAACCCAGGGTTTTATTAACAATTTAAAATCAGAATAGCTATTCTCAGCATCTCATTTAGAACAACAACACTGAAGATTTGGAGAACCATGAATAACATTGATTTTTTACCCCTTCCCCCATTTCCTCTATTCAAAGCTGTAATACCTCATGAAGTACACCCAAAAGGAGTTTAAGGTGACTGCAGTCAAATCTGCAGTAGCCAGGGTATCTCTATTACACACTAGAATCTGTAATATTGTTAAAGCATACCGAGCCACAATGAAATTTTTACAGTAACAGAGACAGTCAGAGAACTTGGATATTAGACAAACAGCACTCCGCTGTCTAGTGACACTTCATTTTTGGTGGACAATAAGAATTCTTTTCCCCAACCTATTTTATTTTGGTATGCTGAGTGACTTGGAAAAAGAGCCTTCATTCTGTATTATCTTGGTGGAGTGTATGAGAGATTGGAAGGTCGTTCTCAAGCTTTTCCCATGAATACCACATACGGAGTGTTCCTTGTTATCAGTAAGGTCATCAGCAATGCAAGAAGGTATGAATTTAACTGCTTTTGATTGAGAGCTACATAATATTTTTAACCATTGATTACAGGGTTATAACAAGCAAGAGTTTTAAAAAGTCAAATACTCTATTTCGAAGGCGGACGTTGGCAGAATTCAGCTTTGAGTAAAATTTACAATCCAGCATTTTAAAACCATGGTGCAAAAAGGTATAGCGTTTTCATGATTAAAAGCTTTCTAAAATATGGTCTAACTACATTATATTATGTCTTTTAAACTGACCAGCTTTTTTGTAATTCCTTTAAGTCCTACAGACTGTACTGTAGTACAAAAAAAAAAACAAACCACCAAAAAAACCCAAACCCTTTCATTTTGTTTCTTGTTTTTCTCTAACAAACAATGGTAACTACTTACTTGTTTTTCCTTATTAAGGGATTCCTCTAGACTAAGAACCATGGCTCTGTATTGTTCCACATTACTAGAACTAGTCTTGAGTCTCTCTCTCAGGTCATTAACTTGTTCATCAGCTTGTCTTAGTCGACTTACAAGATCATCCACATTTTCATTTGTACTAGGTTGACCTATAGTATTAGAATACATTCATTAACTGATGGGAGTTTAATTCAGCTTTTTAAACCATTGTTCTGTTAAAAACTAAAATCTTGTAACATGAAAAAAAATATCACTGCCACAAAGCTTCTCTAAATTAAATTATCAGCCTTAACCACAACAGTGGCTTACAATAAAATTGGCTATTTAAAAATAAGGAACCAGTTCTTTCAAGTAATAAGGGATCCATTAATAAAAGTTTTGCTTTATTTTTCCCCTTTGTCAAAGGATGCTTGGACATGAATTTCACTTTAGTAAATAATCCTGGTTATCATTTGTTTTAATACGCGACTGTAATAATGATGTTTATTATTTAGTGTACTTTTTTCCCAATTCTAAATTATTATGAATTTTACCATTCTACAGACAGAAATATTTAACATAAAGAGAAATTCAATGTAGAAAAACATCTTACCTTTCCCCGGAGCCCTCTGTGATGACTGAGATGTTAACTGAGCCTCCGTATTGTTAAGCTGCTGTTTCAACATCACAGTTTCCTTCTGGGCATTCTTTAAAAGTTCCTTTGTGTTAATGTGACGGTTTGTCTCAGTCTCAAGTTGCCTCTTAAGATCAAGGATATGAACCTGAAAACGCAAGGTTCTTAAAGTTGTAATTATTCACAAATGGCACAAATGTTTGTAAGTTTCACAGATGAAAATCAATGCACTAAGCCATAAAACTGTGGCTTTATTTTCACTGAAATAAGTTTAGGTTATTTATACTTACCTCTTGATTTTTGGTAAGGGAATGTCTTTGTTCCACCTCACTTTCTAGTTTCTTCTTCAGCTGAGATATTTCACGCTCTAGCTTTTCTATCTGATTATTGAGCCTTTGTTTTGTATCTGTCTCAGACTTCTCCAGTATTCCCTGATAAAAGACACAATAATACACAATGCTTACAATACACTTAAGTAATCTATAAAATAATTACTGCAGGGAGCAAACAACAGTAGGCAGATAAAGAAAATTACAAAAAGTAACACTTAAAATCTATGATTTAATAATATTATTAGTATTGTTAGGAAAAAAAAAAACTATTACACATGCAATGTAATTCCTAGGTTTAAAGAAACCCAAAAGGTCTAGTGCAGAAACAGAATTCCGTCACATGATAAAATGTGCAACCTTAAGTATTTATACTCTGAGAGTCAATATACAATAAAAAATACAAAAGTATAAATACACCCTAACATACTAGAAAACTAAACTACCAAGGCAGCAACTAGTAGATTTTGCTGTTATAAAAATTCATATATAGACTTTTTAATTTAATTTTGGTTCCATGTTTATTTCCATTTTATTGTGAAAACCCTTCTCAACAACTCAAAATTTTCAGGACATTGCCCAAGTAAATAGCAGAGTATCATATTGTAAGACAGGAGTAACAAATTTGCTTAAACAAGTACCTCAAGTATTTTATGTTCAGTGGCAATTGGAAACAAAAATAATCCCCCAAACCCCCCCACAAAAACAACAACAACAAAATAATTACCCAATCCCATGACTGTTTTATTAGATTTCTAGGGGCATTTATTGAAAACTCTGAAAGACAGACAAAAAACTTGCACATGAGAATAATGCCACATACCTGAATAGCTCGCAAATTAGCAAGCAGCAAGTTCTGTCCTCTTTGTTCAACTAAGAGAGAGTCACGTTGCTGAGTCAAACGCACATCTGACATCTTCAAGATATCTTTCTCTTTTTTCAAGTTTTCTGCTCTCACCTTTAAGACAGCAAACGATAATAAGCACTTTGTTATCAATCCCAAATCTGTCCATTAATCTTATGATTAGTTAATACTAATTAAAAAAAAAAAAGCTTTAAGATTATAGATTGCAAATCAAAACTCATGCAAATTAAGCCAAGAAGAGTGAGAACACAACAGTGTGACTAATCACATTGTCTTCCTCTGTAAATTGAAACACCCTCAGAGTGTTCTTACATCTTCAAGTAGTACTTGAGGCATTTTGCAGAATATTACAAGTATATAAACCAAATATACAAGCACACAAGCTTTTAGAAATTTAATAGCTAATGCACTCAAAAAGCCACACATTCAAGTTTCTGACAGCTTTCAAGATAGTCATAAGAAAAACTCTAGTCCTAACTTGGAATATTTAGCAGTATAACACACTGTACTACTAACCTCTGCCACTGCCAGTTTTTCATTAGCTCCCCTCAGGTCTTGAGTCATAGTGTTAATTATCTGCTCCTGCTTCTGAGTTGTTGCTGTGAGTTTCTGGTTTCTTTCATGCAGAGATGTTATTTCTCGACGATAGCCTTCAACATTATCCTGCAGCATTTCGTAACTTCACAAGGAACAACAAAGCAAAGTATGTTTGCCACTTTACATTGCTTGATCTTAATTGCAAAAAGCATATGTACACAGCTACATTTTGCGCTCTTGTGCATCAGTTTTCACATATGTCGCTCACTCAACTAGAAGACGTATTCTTGATCCTATCTTAACTATTTCCTTTGTGTTCTTTAACAGAATAGATAAATACTAAATTGGCAACTCTTCTTAAGGAAATGGTATCAGGCAGTCAACATGATCCTGTCGACAAAGAACACGTACATAAGGTAATGAAAAAAAATAGCTGATTTACCGCTTGGAAGCAAACTCCAGCTGTGTAGATATCTTTGCATTTTGTGACCTCAAGTCCGTGACCTGCTCCTGAAGCTTTTCATTTTGTTCATTCAGCAACTTGTCATTCTCTGCCTTTTCTTTTTTATAGTTCTCAAAAACTTCCTGTAACTGCATCAAAGAACAGACATTAAAGTGCTTACATGAAAAACAAAAAACCCAACCCACAGTGATAGCTTTCTACAACATTTACTGGAAAATATACCTGCTTAAGTGCAGCCTTAGCCTCCAGAGTCTCCACTGACTCAGTCATTGACACTGAAGCAGGAGTTGACATGGCCTGAGGTAAATTTGAGCGCTTTGGAGTAGATGTAAGAGACATCTCCTCTGGTAACATACCTGAAGCTAAGAGGATATTGAAGATAAAGAGGATTTTAAAGGTAGTAATTGAATAAATGCTTGCCAAAGCAGAAGATAATATAACCACGCCAAAATATGGCTAAAACTAATACTGTATTGCTAGAAAAGTCTTGGATTTCCTGAGCAATTCATTCTTTACACCTACAGTATGCTACCAGAACACATGTCATGGGTTCAGCAGTAGCAGTCATTTTTCCCCTTCTTGGGAGCTGGTGCAGTGCAGTGTTTTGACTTTCAGCTCGGGAACAGAGCTGGTAACAACTGATGTTTTTGGTTTGGCCAAGGACTTTGTGAGCCTCATGCTCTGCCAGGGAGGAGGGGAAGCCAGGAGGAAGCAGAGACAGGACACCTGACCCAAACTGACCAAAGAAGTATTCCATACCACAGCACGTCATGCCCAGGATGTAACTGGGAGTGAGCCGGAAGGGCTGGGGGTATGCAGGGTTGGAGGAGGTATCGGTCGGAGCTTGGTCGGGCTGGGGGGGGCGATTATCGGTCGGCTGGTGGTGAGATGATGTATTC